TGCCTCAAAAAATAAAAAGGTCTGGGAATATAGATCAGTGGTATAGTGCCCCTAGGTTCAATCCCCAGTACCAAAAAATAAAAATACTTGCTTTTTAAAAACAAACCCACAGATTCCCAGTGCTCTGCCAAAAAAGGATCATGCTCTTAAAGTTTAAAAGACATCCATTTGTGAGAGATTTGTCCTAACAGTATCAAACCACAAGGAAATAAAGGAAGAAAAAAAAATTGTAGTCCTGCCCATTGTCTTCGGTTTAGAGAGAAAAGATATGTTCTGGATTCACCAAGTAGGCTTAGAAATGCATTTTTAATAGAAACGTTGCTCACTGCCCCCCATCTTTTCTTTCTTTTTTTAAAAAAAATATTTTATTTTTTAGCTGTAGATAGACACAATATCCTTATTTTATTTTTATGTAGTGCTGAGGATTGAACTCAGGGCCTGGCACAGGTTAAGCGAGCACTCTACAGCTGAGCCACAACCCCAGCCCAGCCCCCAACCTTTTCTGTATAGGGGATTGAACCCAGTGTATTCTGTCTGCTAAACAAGCACTCTACTGTTGAGCTACATCCCCAACACTTTTTTTTGAGACAGGTTCGTGCTCTGTTGCCCAGACTGGCCTTAAACTTGCAATCCTCCTGTCTCAATCTTCAGCGTCACTAGGATTATAGGTCACTTGTGTGACCTGATAGATAGAAACACTGTTTTGAGGAAGCATTCGGTATCTTAAACACTCCTTGAACTAGAGTGGCTATACCATTAATCAAAAATCTATTTTCTTATATGCTTTTCACTCGAATTCAGATTCAGAAACACCTTTATTTACTCTCATTTTACTTTGTTCAAGGCTCTGGTTTACCATTTTCTGTACTATATTATAATCTTTTGTTTGCATGGGATAATATCACCACTTGATTTCAAATTTCTTACTGACAAGATCCCTTTTTACTTTATACCACTGAGCTATGCTCCCAGGTTCTGTATTCCTAGATTTTAGGAATTGTGCATTAGACTGAACTGTATACCCAATTCAGTCTAATGCACAATGACAAAAAGGATGAAAGAACATTCATTTATTTGAAAAAACAAACAGTATAATCACCTTTTAAAAAATCAGTTTTAAGGGCTGGAGTTCTACCTCAGTGACGAAGCACTTGCCTAGCATGTGTGAGGCACTGGATTTGATTCTCAGCAAAGCATATAAATAAATAAATACAGGTCTATCAACAAATGAAAAAATATATTTTAAAAATCTGTTTTAAACCAAGTGTGGAAGCACATGCCTGTAATCCCAACAACACAGGAAGTTGAAGCAGGAGGACTACAAATCCAGGGGCAGTCTTAGCAATTTAATGAGGCTCTAAGCAACTTAGTGAGATCCTGTCTCAAAATTAAAAATTAAAAAGTGCTGAGATAAACAGCAACATGCACTAGCACCAGACTACAGACATGTTATATCAGGCAAAAGGCTGCCAAAGGGGAAAAAGTTTTATATTTTTCAGTTCTTCATCTCAAGGTTTTACTTAACTATTGTTAGTGTATATAAAGGCTAGTCTTTTCAATTGAAATAATCTACTTTTTTAAAGGATGTAGCTCAGTGGTAAAGCATCCAGTACCAAAAAATAAATAAAAATGAAAACCTGTTTTAAGGGTCCAGAGGTGTGGCTCAGCAGTAGATTGCTTGCCTTGCACATGTGAGGCCCTGGGTTTGATCCCTAGTTCCACAAAAAAAATTAAATTTAATTTAAAAATAAAAATAAACCTACCCTGTTTTAACTGGAATTTATTCCAAGTTCCCAACAAGTTAAGAGCCACCTATAACATCTACACAAACAAAATTGACTTTTGCCTTTTTCTATTAGAGTGTTTTGACTATTATCCACTTTCTTCCAACAGAACAAATGCATATCTAAACTTGTCTGAAATAGATAAACAGCAATATGCACTAGAACCAAGTTACAGACATGTTATATCAGGCAAAAGACAGCCAAAGGGGAAGAAGATGGGCAGAAATTTTATTTTTTTCAGTTCTTTGTCTCAAGGTTTTACTTAACTATTGCTAAGATATATAAAGGCTGTTTTTTTCAAATGGAGTAAGCTACTTCTTTAAAGCTTTCAGGATTTAATTTATTTGTTTACTTGTGCTATGAATACATACAGGGACAGATTTTTCACAATATACTGAATGAACCTGGTTTAGTAAAATAGATAAACGTACAGAAAATTGTAAAATACATTACAACATAGTCTTAACAGTCGTAAAAATGTGGTTTTCTTCTCTTTTTGCTTACCTTTCTTCTAATTTTACTATTAAAAATATGTAAACGTGTATAATAACTAAAGCAATTATATTTGGGGTAGATAGGGCCTCACTAAGTTGCTGAGGCTTCACTAAGATGCTGAGGCTGGCTTTGAACTCGAGATTCTCCTGCTCCAGCCTCTTGAGCCGCTAAAATTACACACCTGTGCCACCCTGCCCAGCCAAAAGCAATTTTTTTTTTAATGAAGTATAAGGCATTCTATACCAAGTCATTCTTCACTTAAAGATCATTGGGGTGTAAGCAGGGCTATCACTCAGTGAGAGAGCTTTTGCCTAGCATGTGCAAGTTCATGGGCTCAATCAGTAACGTTAGGGGAAAAAAAAGATCACTGGGGTTTTCCAAAGCCTATAAAATTAACTCCAATTTAGTATGATTCTTCCCAAGATGATATTAAAATTCTCTCTCGGAGCTGGAGAGGTGGCTCAGTGGTAGAGTGCTCACCTAGCATGCATGAGGCACTGGGTTCCATCCTGGGCACCACATTAAAAAAAAAAAACTAATGAATCCACCTAAAACTAAAGATACATATATAAATAAATAAATAGATAGATAGATAGATAGATAAAAATTTTCTCTTTCTCCACTAAAGCTTCACACATCACACCTCAGTCACACTAATTTTACTGTCTCAAATATGTCAGCCTGTTTATTTTTTGTTTGTTTTTCATTTTAGTTTGGTTTCATCATGGGAACTGAACCCAGGGGGACTTTACCACCAAGCTATGTTCCCAGCACTTTTAAATTTTTTATTTTGAGAGAGGGTTTCACTAAATTGTTTAAGGATCTTGTTATAGCTGAAGCTGGCTTTGAACTTGATATCCTCCTGCCTCATTCTCCCATGTTGCTGGGATTATAGGTATGTAGCACAGCCCCAGCCCAAGGTGGTTTTATAAAACACTAATCTCTAATAGTTTCTGACAGGCAGTATATTCTCAAATATTATGTTGTTGTTACACAGAATATTTTAAAACACATAATATATTGTGTAATATATGTGTATATATAAAATGCTCATAACTCATGATAATCTCATATTCAGTGTATAAAGTTAGAATATATGCCAAATATGACAAATAGCTACATTCCTAAATTGCAGAATCCAGTTGAAACTGTGCACACACTTGAAACAACAATGTAGTTTTTTGTTTGTTTTGTTTTTATGCTGGAGAATGAACCAAAAGGAAAGAGAAGCTTTACCACTGAGCACATTCCCAACCCTTTTTACTTTTTGTCATTTTGAGATAGGGTCTTGCTAGTAAATTGCTGAGGCTATTCTTGAACTTGAAATCCTCCTGTCTCAACCTCCCAAACAACTTGGATAACAGGAGTGTGCGCCACCACACCCAGCTAGAAAGACTTATTTTGACTCAGTTTCAGAGGCTTCAGTGAACGGTCACTTGGGCCTATTGCTTTGGGCCTGTGGCAGCAGAGTATAACAGGGTGGAAGCACAAGGCAAAGGAGGCCTGTTCACCTCCTGGTGGCTAGGAAGCAAAGAGAGAGGGAGGAGGGGTCCAAATTTTCCTTTCAAATGCAATCCCCCCAATGACCTAACTTCTTCCAAATAGGTTTTACCACTAAAAGGTTCCACCACACCTCCCAATAGCACCACATGCTGGGGACCAAGTTGTTTCCACATGAGCCTTTAGGGGATATTTCAGATCCAAACTACTGCAAACTACAAATCCCTGTTAACCACTGGCAATTTTATCTATCTGTATATATTTTTCTGGTGAGACAGAGCTCCTCTAAGAATCCTCAGCTTAAAGAAGAGAATATATATTAAAAACTAGGCTCTAAAAGAAATCAGAAACCTTAGCAAAAATTGAGATTGTTTCCGTTATTTTTAAAATAAGAACAAAAATACTGAACTCAAAGAAGCCAGGGTTAACTTATTCAAACTAAAAATGTTATATATTAAGATAAATTAGAAGTATAATCTTTTTTTATATATGGTGCTAGGAACTGAACTCAGAACCTCCAGCATGCTAGGCCAGCCAGCATTCTACCACTGAGCCTTTTGTGAGACAGGATCTAGCTAAGTTGCCAGGACTGGCCTAGAACTTTAAATTCACCTCACTCAGCTTCCAGAGGAGCTGGGATTACAGGTGTAATCACTCTCAGTTCCCAATTCACATTAAATGAGCTCATAACATATGGCCTTTCCTACTCTATTTCTAAAATTGAAGACGTATTCACACCAAAATATAATTTTAAGGCAGGAAAAAAATCTTTCCCTCCTTTCAATGATAAATTTTTATCCAAAACCTTCATAATTATACAGGTTCTGAACAGAAACCTCAATGATACCTTAAAGAAATGTAATGTAAAAAGCAAACACCACAAGATAAAAATGTATGAATTGGACTTCATCAAAAAATTTTAAAGGAGGGGCTGGGGCTGTAGCTCTGAGGCAGAGCGCTTGCTTAGCATGTGTGAGGCACTGAGTTTGATCCTTAGCACCACATAAAAATAAACAAATACAATAAGGTCATGCTGTCCATCTACAACTACAAAAAAAATTTTTTTGATTTTTAAACGAGAAGGCAATTAATAGACTTGAAAGAAAAATGACTCTTCTGATGAAATAAAAAAGCAACACAATTTGAAAAAAGGCAAGATTTTAAGATACTTCACTAAACAAGATATACCAATTATAAATAAACCCATGAAAAGATACTAACCAGCAATCCCATTCCTCAGTATTTATACAAAAGAAATGAATACATGCCCCAAAACTTGTATACTTCAATGCTCATGGCCATTTCATTCATAACAGTCAAAACATGGAGACCGAAAGTCCAAAATCTGAAGAACAGATAAACAATTTGTCATATTCTGTACAATGGAATACTACTCAGTAATAAAAATGGTTTAGCCACTAATAATTAACAATGACAGGGATAAATCTCAAAAACATTACAGTAGGTTACAAGAAGCCAAACACAAAAGGCTATATATTGTATAATTCCATTTGTATGAAATTCTAGAAAAGCTATAGGTCAATGGTTGCCAGGGAGTTTGCTAGGAAGAGGCTAACTACAAAGGGGCACAAAGAAACCTTTTTTAAGGTGATGGAAATCTATATCCTGGCTATGCTGTTCATTACATGACTGTATCCATTTGCCAAACTCATGAAATTATACACTTAAAATTGGTGAGTTTTATTCTGTGTAAATTGTATCTCAATAAAATTCACTATAAACAGTGATGAATTCACAGTTTTTATCTCATCAACACAAAAATGAACTTTAATTTAAGCATTTTTAAATTTTAAATCTAAGCATTTCCTACATAATACAAAATCAACATTAAGACCTGAGGCAAGTTACCACAGTAAATATACAGCAGAGATTGTTTTCTTCTCTTACTTATTAGTGATAAAACGCAATTAAACAAAAACTAAGATTTGTCCAAACCTACTCAAATCTATTAAAGAAAGAAGCAAATTACAAAGTACACTCATTTAGACAAGCCATAACAAGTTTAGATATAAGAAGTGTTTTCTCAATGTGTTTCATTATGCAGTGTAGTAGTGAGTTTTTAATATTAGGTAAAAAGTTTTTATCAAATTATGATTGTCTAAAAAGATATACTTCTTGTTTATAATAATTATACAGTTTTTAGCAACAAAGTTTGTAGTCAATTATTTACAAATACTCAAGAAAGAAGTAAGGCAAGAATGAAAATTCTGACGAGCACTCTGCTTTCAGATGCTTTGACAATACTATTGCACTGCTAGCTGTCAAATACAGTAGTGCAATAAAGTCAGAGCATTCGTAAGCAGTAATAAGTAGGAAAGGAACATAAACGAATCTTGAGTTGAAGCTTCAGTATGAAAAGAATTTGAAGTTGGATTGCCACTTTGGTCAGAAGACATCAAAACATAAAGACATTTATATCAATGTGATATTGGTTTTTGATGACTAATCAACCATTAACATTCGAATAGAAACATGCAGAGATGTAAAGGAATTTTTAAAATATCTTGAGTCTTGGTAGTAATTAACAAGTATATTAGTAATACCTCAAAATTGGTATTAACAAAACCAATTAGAAGTACTAAGTCACAGTTGTGATAAAGTTTCCTGGTCTCTGATGAGATAGTTTGTTGGTTAGCTCCTTTTCCAAAGCAAAATGACTGATTGGTTACCTGCCATATAAAACAAGCCCTTTGAATAAGAATGTTACAGAAAATAAACGAAAAATAATAAATGTGTAAAATCTCTATATACCCAATCTATTACTCTGGATTCTAAACTATAACACAAAACACACACACACAAACTATAACACAAAACACACACACACACACACACACACACACACAAAGCATTTTATAAGGCATGACAGTGCGTGCCTGTAATTCCAGTGACTCCCGGACGCTGAGACAGGAAGATCACAAATTTGAGGCCAGCCTCAGGGAAACCCTATCTCAAAAATAAAAAGGACTGGGGATGTACTCAGTGTTGTAAAGTGCCCCTGGGTTCAATCCTCAGTACCAAAAATAAAAGTACTTATCATTATAGCTTTTTATTTCAAGAGTTTACTGAGGACTATGATAACAAAGAAAGACACTGCCAGATAATCAATGTGAGCTAAACATGACAATATTATCTCAACCTAATTGAATTTTATGGAAGGAGGTTTTAAATATAAACCTTAAATATAAAAGGAAAGCATATTCATTTCTTGTTAACTTTAAAATATCAAAATGAAAATAATGGAGAAAGAGGCCTGAGATGTAAACAATAAATTTCCTTAAAAAAGAAATGTAAACTTAGAAATAGAAATCATAGTTGGGCATGGTTGCACATGCCTAATCCCTGCTACTCAGGAAGAGAAGGCAGAAGGATCCAAATTTCAGGCCAGCCTGGACAATTTAGCAACATCCCGTCCCAAAAAAATAACAAGGCAGGTATATGTCACTTCTTAGTGGTAGAAAGGACCTAGCTTCAATCCCTAGGGCCTCTGGGGGTTTGTGAGGATTAGTAAGAGTATCATAGTATCACATTACACTTTTGTGTACAATCACTAGTAGAACCACAAAAGGAGGGCCTTCCACAAATATCATTCAATCAATAAGTAAAGGGAAAATAGTTAGAGAACACGGATTACCCTACAATGAGGTTATTCCTCCTTTAGTAATGTTGACTGATGGAAAAATAATTTTCTCTTATTTTCACCAACCTTCCTTTAAATGGTCCAGTTCAGCTACTTAGGTGGATCAAGCCCACCAAGAAATGGACTCAAATTTGGGACAGCTGGAACATAAAGAGTCTTGGCCTCAAATCCTGGGCCACAAAATTCAAATATGAGAATATTTAACTCTTGTTAATCAAGTGTCATGTTTTAAAGACAAGTGTTTATAAAGACAAGTGTTTAGTATTCTGAACTGTAAGTTAATACAAGAAAATAGAAAAAAATATTAAATTAAGAGGATCAGGCTATCTGTTTACAAAACTGAGATAACTTTTTCAAAGTTAAATACAATGCATTCTCTTTTCACCTACTAAATATTCCATACTGGTCCCCTGGCAATCCTTTATTTAAGTAATGTAAGACAAACAAACAAAAACCCAGAAGATTGTACCAGAAATCATTTACCTTTAGAATCTTAGAAACTACATTGATTCTGGTTCATAGATAAAACATTTTTTAAAGGAATATGGCAAATCCGAAGATGAGATGCACCATCCTTTACTATCAAGTCAATACAAAATAGGAATATTAAAAACAATAATAAAAATTCCAATTCATTCTTAAACCCTAATAATTTTTTTAAATATTTATTTTTTAGTTGTAGTTGGACACAATACCTTTATTTGCTTTTATGTGATGCTGAGGATTGAACCCAGGGCCTCGAGGTTGCTAGGCAAGGGCACTACCACTGAGCCACAACGCCAGCCTGTAAACCCTAATAATTATGAAAACAAACCAATAACTTGAAAAAAAAGCTACCACTAATTTACTTTTAAGAAATTTAGTGGGGGGGGGGAACTTTGCTTTCTAGTCTTCCTCTCATCAAAAGGAAGTTTAAAAACTATCTCATAATTAAATATCTAAAAGTTTAAAAGTTGGCTGTCATAACTTTCTAAAACCTCCATTTTTCAAAAATGTTTCTTGCTTTTCCCTTAAAATAGAATATGTTCATAACAAAAAAAAAAAAGAAGAAGAAGTAGTCTTTTAAGAATATTGATGCTATTGCAAAAGCTAGAAAAAGTATAAAAATTAAACAGCCAATAGGCTGCGTGGGCATACATATAAAAACAATTAGCATCAGGCAGCATATAACAACTAAGCAGAAATATCTGTATCTGCAGAGAGGAATTTAAAATGGGGGAGTGGGAAAAGACAGTCTTAATTTTTATGCCTGTTGATAGAAGTAAACTCCGATCCTTGACATTTCGTGTATTAAAAAAAAAACAGTAAAAATAAAAAATAAAAACAAAACCAAACAAATATTCATTATTGCAGGTTTGGAAAATTGCAGAAAGAAAATTCGTCTTCCCTCCCATGTTTCCCTCCATTCTGTTTCCATACCCACACTCCCTCCACATAGAAAATTTGGACACAAATGTTAAAGTAACTGAAAGCCTTGCAATTAAATGTAAATAAAGCCGGTGCTTCAATTCCTTAACAAAGCAAATGAAAATAATAAGATAAATCAAGGCCTAACATTTTCTGGGGTGGGAATGGGGGGGGGGTAGTACACACTATCATCCAGGATCACCACAGGTCCTTACAAAAGCAGAAGTTAAAGAACTAACATTCATCTTGGAAAGAGCAGTGTGGGCACACAGATATACCTAAGCAATAACGCCAGGGAATGGCGGGGAGGAGGAGAAACAGATTGAAGCTGGAGAAGAAAGAAGTTTTTTTTTAACTTTTTAAATTTTGATCTTGTTATTTTCTTTAAAAAACAAAAACAACAGAAACTCAAAGATGGGTACTTCCTCAAAGTTCCATATTTTTAAAGAAGCCAACCCAATCTGAAAATACCGATAATGCAAGAAGAAAATAAAGAGTGAAGGCAGAGCCAAGAAAAAAGCGCGGGCTATCAAGCTGGTAGACTAAGGATGGGAGGGAGGGAATTAAGGGGACAAGAGAGGGTAAGGACTAACCCCATAAAGAAAACAAGGGTAGCCCTTCAGCTTGGCACCCTCCAGCAGGCCACACACAACAGCAACAAGGGGAGTGCTTTCTAGTTCTTCGCCCCGGCCCTCTACTTTCACAGATGAATGAAAATGGGCAACTCGTGAGCAAGGTGTCCTCCCATTTCCAATATCCCCGGCTCTCGAGGAAACGAGCCTATAGTTCAGATCCCCATAGCTCCGACGGCTCGCTCACCCAAAGCTTGCATCCTCCGGGCCAAACACATACGAGTCTAGGGGACTCCCTTGGCCGCTAGGAAGTTGTAGCGCACGTTTAGCATCCTTTCTCAAACTTTCTCAGCCCGCCTTCGAAAACATGAATGGTTCGTTTCTCCCCGCGCCCCCTGCCCCGGCTTACTTCTCACCCCACATCCCCCTTTCTAGGGGTGTGAACGACCTCTTGGGGCGTTGATAGACCCTTCCAGTCGTGTGTGTGTGTGTGTGTGTGTGTGTGTGTGTGTGTGTGTGTGTAAATACATAAAACGCTGTTTCCATTAGCTACAGCTCCTTCAGGGATAGAAAAGTAAAGCAAGAAACAAGGAATTCCAAAGGCCCCACACCCTCAGCATCTCCCGCCATTTCCCTCACGAATTTCCCGGATGTACCCCTTCGCCGGCGGCGGTTGGGAGACCAGGCGGTGGCGGCTCCCTTTGGTGCAGGAGGAGGGAACTCCAATTTGGTCCAGCCTCCGCTGCCCAGAGTTCCCCGCAAATCCACATTGCTCCCCACCTTCGAGGCCACTGGGGAAAAATTAATTACCCAGTAGGTGTCCTTCACTTTGCACTCACCATCAGTTCGAGCTTATCGACCTCCGCCTCCATGTTGAATAGTTGACATTCCTCAGACCGCGGCGGCGCTTAAGCTGCAAGCCGTACTAGCACTGAGGGTCTCTATTGGACAGCTGTCACTCAATGTTTCGCACTCATTGGCTCCTGTGTTTTACCAGCGCCCGCCCATTGGCAACTGGGTGCCGCCCCTCCATATGAAACACATTTTCCTGTTGGGTAAAGACACAAAACGCCGCAGGAGGATTGGCTGCAGCATATATTTTTTTTTCCATTGGCTACCCTATCTCTCTACTTTCAATTTCATAGTTAGGGCTCAGCAGAGAAGAGCTTCCGATTCGTGAAATCAGAAGAAGAACCAACCAATTACACGGAAGCTTCCACCGACAGCATAGGGGACGCGACACACCCTCTTTCCTCTCCCGCCTTCTCCTTATTCATACTAAAAGCGCCTCATGCCCGATTGGTCGGAGAGTAATTCTATCTCAGCCAATCATAAGCCAGGCTGTGTTCCTACGCTACTAGGAAAGCGAATCGTGGGGAAGCCACGTCTACGATTGGTCCCTCCGTGACGAGGATTTAATTTTGAATTTTTCTTTATGGAGTGGAAGAAGCCACTGCCCGGACTCCATCTAATCCCCAGGCTCTTAGACTAGTAAGTGCAGGGACAATTCTTTCTGTGTTACCTGGGCTCGAATCTTCCGTAATTGGACCTGTTGCTGCTTGTGTTTTTATGGGTAAAGGAGGAGGGGACTGGCTGGAGTAGGAAGGGAGAAGCAGAAAAGGGGAGATTTGCGGCTTGGGAAGAGGTTCTCGGCTTGGCTCCATCCGAGCCGTACTTCTATTAACACTCTGAAAAATATGTTTTGGAATGAAGCATCTGACTTCCTTTTGCTCGTTCCTTTATATCTTTGCTACTCAAAACGGGTTCACGGGCCAGCGAAATTGACATATGATTTGGCCCCTTATTAGAAATGCAAAGGGCTCCACCCATACTTTCTCAGTTAGAATATGAATTGCAGTAAGATCCACGATCACCCCGTGATTCCTATATACATTCAAGTTTGAGAAGGTATATTTCTTGGCTAAAGAGTATTCATTCCAATGTTCCTCTCTACACTCTTATTTTTTATTTTGGCGGGGCGGGGGGGCGGGGGTACCAGGGATTGAATTTAGAGGCACTGGACCACTGAACCACATCCCCAGCCCTCTTTTGTATTTTATTAGAGACATGGTCTCACTGAATTGCTTAGCGCTGGCTTTGAACTTGCGATTCTCCTGCCTCCCCCACCCAAGCAGCTGGGGTTACAGGAGTATGACACTGCCCCGGGCCCCTTGATACACTCTTAATGCTATCGAACATTCTGTGTCAATTTTAAGTGTGCGCTTATTACTATATGCCAAATACCGTGCTGAAGGAGACTAGAGTCCTGTGATCTCTCTCGAGAAACCAGACAGAAATTTAAAAAGCAATGCTACATAACATAAAACGTAAAATCAATATCAGTAAGTGTCTAAAATAGTGCTGTGGTTTTCAAGATGAACTAATCGAACTGGTAATAGAAACTAAATCTTCTGAAGACCATTAATGAGGGGTAAGAGGCATCCATAAAAACAAGAACATGGTAATGAAATGTAACTGTGATTTCCGTGCTGCCACAACCTTGGACATGCTCCATGACCAAAGAACTTTTTATATCACCTGATGGAATTTTAACAGGAGCAGCATTGCCTGCCAACTCCTAGAGACGATTGTAAAGGTGTATATAAAGTCTTATAGGACTGGGGTTGTGGCTCAGCAGTAGAGAGCTTGCCTAGCATATGCAAGGCGCTGGGCTCAATCCTCATCACCACATACAAATAAATAAATAAAGGTATTGTGTCCAACTACAACTAAAAAAATTTAAAAATAATAATACAGTGCTATAAAAGCACAAAAGCAATAACTTTTCAACCACTATAAATTTATAAGAACAGAAACTATTTTGGTCTTACACATGATTGTATGACAGCACCTAGCAGAATATCTGATGGAGGG